TCTTTGACAAAATTTGAGTTAATTAGTAAATACACCCCATCATTAAATACCCATCTTACCCATCTTACAGGTATTCACAAAACAATTTCTCACAATAAGACGTTATAAGAAAGTGATCAAAAAAGTGATTGCATCTAAAATATTTATGATAGCTAGAGACCATTTTCAAAGGACCTACATACGCTAGTATACGAAATTTCATATAAATATATTGTGAAAATTGCGGCCCATAGTTTTGAATATATATAGTAGGAAACAAGAAGGATAGACGGACAGATGGACAGACAAGCTTAAATCTTAGATTAAGAAGGTGATTCTGAATTGAACGATACAAGAAAAGTTGGATCATCCACACAAACTTAATATGATCGTATATGACAACTGGGTTTAGGGAGCGAGTGCCAGCGGAAATATAGTTCTTGTAATAAACTGGTAAACATGATGAGTATCATATATTGCGCGTATACCCGAGAATGTTCGCAATGTTGATGAACCGTTTTATTAAAAATTAGATTCGATTCGATTAACGATTAAATAAATGACTCTGTAAATTTGAAATAAGAATGCAAAAAAAAAAAAACGTCCAAGTCTGCCGAGCGATATATGCATGAAAAGTAAAGAAGTAACGTGAAAGCGGTGAAGGAAAGGACAATGCAAGGATGCAAGGATTTAAAGCGACAATTAATCTGCCGAATAAAAAAGACAGGAACTATGCACGCCATGTCTTTGAGGAACTAGCACTTTGAAAATTCCATTCGCCAAACGCTAAACGGACCTAAGTAAGTATATCGGACATCAATCTGTAGTGCACTTTACAGCGTGCAGTATGGATGGTTTCATTTCCGGCAGAGGTTTCTAAATGAAGGTAGAAAACTGTTCTCAAAAAAGTTTCGCAAAAATCACTTGATTCCATACTCCGATCAGAAATCCCAAAGGTTTGATAGACGTGGCATAATTGCTTTACCAGAAAAATGGCCCATAGAATGGCTCACTTGTCTTTTAATATAATTTTTTTGTAGTGTAAGAATTTTAGAAGAAAAACAACAAAGGCCATAAACACTTTTTAGCCCTAGAACGACCGTCTGAGTCAATGCCAGTTCATATTTTTATGAAAATACCTTTAAATATTCATAATAGATATGATTATCTAAATATCGTGATCTTTAAGATACCGATGAGATGTGAAATTGCAATTTAGAATAAATCAAGAAGAATAAACTGACACAACTTTCGATTCGATGAAGAAAGATATATTTGATTACTTTCGTGTTCAGTTCAAAAGTTATGCATCGAAATGACCGATAACAGTAGAAATAAATAGTAGAAGAAATTCTAGTATTATTATATAAAAGATGAAGAGAAGAGTTTTTTTTGAAATTTTTTTTTTTTACTAACACAATTGTAAATAGTAAAGAACGCAGTACTTTTATTTCATTTAAAATATTTCTCTTATATTCCATTCATTCATTCATTCTTTTCATTTAAGTTCATCAAAGTTAAGATATACGAACACATTTTTCAAGGTGTGTAATATTGTAAAATGTTTATCGTTATTGTTATGTATGTGTCTTAAACGACATTTATTGCGTTGCTTTCCGTCTCCATATTTTGTATGCTTGTTTTTTTTTTGTTTTTTTTTTTTGTTTTTTTTTCTTTGAGTTGGAGAGACGTGTGTATGATACTTTGTCGTCACTAAGCTAATTCCATTAGAGTAAATGTATACGCACATGCAACCAAGTAAGATATTATTTTATTAATATATGAACTCAGACATGGCAATAAGTTGCTCCTATGTTTTCAATGTAATATGATGATAGTTTTTCTTTTAAAAGAAAGTATGTCTCTGGATTAAACCGGTATATATACATATATATATATAAATATGTGCATTGACACGTATGCATGTACTTAAGTCTATTTAGGAGTACGCAAGCATATTTGTAGATGCACTCTGTGTGTGTGTGTGTGTGTGTGTGTGTGTGTGTATTTTAGATAAGGGATAACTAAACTTGCTTTATTTTTAGATATTTTTTGCTAAGCTAATCATTTAATTTCTTCTTTTTTTTTTTTTTTTTCTTGGATGCAACGTAAATCTATTAAATGGGTTCCAATTGATTATAGTAATCGTTTCAAAAGAAATTTGTGACATTTTTAATTATGTAAATGTTCGCCGCTTATAATTGCACTATAAAACCAAGCTATTGCTGGCAGTATTTTTAACTAGGGATGTGAACAAGTATACAACTACTTGGTTGTTTATCAACACACACAAACACACATAAAACACACAAACACAAATAAACACACATACACCTATGTTCATGGAAATCAGTATATAACATTTAGAATGTATGCACCAGTAGATCATCGTACATTTGACTCTCAGTCATAATACGCTTTGTAACTCGATCTAATTGTGTCAGAAATCGTATCTATGCCTAGAAGCTTGTTGAATCGTTAGTTAATGTTAAAAAAGCTAATTCAAATCATTTATCAAGTGGAATTTTTAATCTTTTCAAAAGATAGAAGATGCTTTTCATATTTAGGTATACGCTTTTGAAATTCACTACTGGAAGTCGGACGCATGTTTACTACGTCGGTTACGTTTGTAACAGCGACGAAATTGGTTCGTAAGGAAAGCGTGTGTGATTATTTCCATTTGTCTGTCTGTCTGTCTGTCTGTCTGTCTGTCTGTCTGTCTGTCCAGTTTTCTATTTCATTCAAATTCAATTTATTCGATATTAGTTTCTCTCTCGAAATCAATTTTAAACGCACGAGTGATCTTTTAAAAAACCTTTGAGAAAACCTTTCAGAATACTTTGAAAACTAAAAATATTGCAAATTACAAAATATTCATTAAAATTTATTGTAAAAAATTCATTATTGTTGTTAAGAAGTCAAGCAATTTCTTTTATGCCTCCGACAGTGGTTTCTAAGATTCGCTTTAAGACGAAAATATAGCGTTATTTGCGTGTTGCGTTTTTCTGCTTGTTGCAATAATTAATTACTTACAAGTGTTATTGCTGTTATTGCTGTTGTTGTTGTTGTTGATGATGATGATGATGTTTCTTGTAATTTGATATGATGAGCGAAGGAATTTTGTTTTTGCAAATTGTTGAGATATTAAAATAATAAAACGAAAAAAAAAAAAATAAAATATGAAAAACGTTTAGACTTTCGTCTGTTTTCGTCTTCGCTCATGTGCATGCCGCACAAATCAACATTAATTACACTTTATTTATTTATGTTGCAGGGGTGTGTGAATCGTGTTTATTGTACAAGTTAGTATTTCACTTGTTCATTATACGCTTACATGCATATATAATAGGTATTGTAGCTTTGTGAAGAACATAATTAGTCGTAACCATGAATTATTTAACCTCTCATTAAATAATTGTTTGCAATTGTGGTTGTGCGCTCTTATTGCTCCCTAAATATGTGAAAGGAAGGGCGGACAAATGATAAATATTTTCTTCTTTTTTTTTTTTCTAAATTATTAATTTAAATACAACACGTGAATATGTGAATAATTTTGGTTAACCCGAATCATTTCATTTTAGTTTATTTGATTTTATTCGATTTGAATTGCGTTTAATTTGATTGATCACCTAAGAGTATGTTATATTTATCATTATTTAAGTAACAACAAAATTTATACTTTATGTGAATTGTTAGCCAATGTTACCATAACTGTCATTGCCTATTTATCTTAAAGTGAATATGAAAAAAAAAAAAAAAAATTAAAATTAAATAAATAAATAAATGAATAAATAAAAACTATCTAATAGTTTAAAGGACAGTTAAGAGGCTTTTTGGGCATTGTTCTGAAGAGATGTAAAAAATCCAAAGCATTTTATAATAAATCGATTAAGACTATTGATCTCGGTCTGTCATGCAGAATACTGGGCGACAAACGTAATTACTTTGCCCATAAGGTCGATTAGATAAAAATGATCGGGGTCCTGGACACAGATTAATACGGGCTAGGAGCACATTCGTCATCTGATGATCGAACTGAATGTAACCTATAACGACTGATACTGACGCTCTACAATATGCTTTGCCCAAGGCGAGCTATAATTACCGGTACAGGAGTAAGTGATCATAATTCTTGTGTTTCATTTTTTTTGTACGTTCATGGGCCGATTACAAGAAGTAGGAAGACTAATTAAGTGAGAGAAGAATTGACAAAGTGGACGAGCATATCAGCTTTGCAATTACCAATAGAATAGATGGGTCACTGAGCGTATTACGACAGTCAAAGTTGAGTGTGGAACTTGTCATTGTACCGGTTGGGATTTGCTGATGACTCGACTATCGCAAGTGGACATTTCTGCGGTTATCCCGTTGCATGAAAAGCTCAAACTTTCGACTTAAGTATGATGTAACGGCGGAAATAGCTATAGTTGGAAATGGAGCACCTTTTGTCCAATTTATTCAATAAGTTTATGAGAAACTCATCTGAACTGTTTTGCGAAATTAATCTGTAAATGTATTCGTCAGAATCATTAACAAAACTTCGATGAATTTTTCTCTTTCCTTGTTTACACTTTCAAGGACAACCATACAATAATGAATGGTTTTTCCTTATTAATATTATTGTGCCAAAATCAACCGAACCAACACATCGTTCTAAGGTTGCGGCCAAAAATATCAAACAACTCTACGTGTACATTAAATAAGATTTGATGTTGGATAAATTTGGCTCTCAGTTCGGTTTTTTAGTAAGCGGTATTGTGTAAAGATACGATTTTAAATATCGTATATCAACGTATAACCAAATATTATTCATTATTAATTCACTGGCGTGATATATGATGATATATGATTATCAAATGTAATAAAAAAAATTCTACTTTCTTCCATCAAAAGCTAACAAATACTAGGTATACAACTTTAATTTAATTTGAATAAAAACAACCTTTCCTCTATACCTTCATATTATTTTTTATTTTATATGTTAATTAAATATTTTGAATTTGAATTTTTGTTTTTTTTAGGAAACTCTATTCATCAACGATTTTGGTGTTGAGTGTTTAGCAGGCGATGAACGAAAACAATGTTTCCATTCGAGAGTAAGTGATAAAGTTGGTGGTAAAAAGCAATCCATTTCCCTTTATAGATGTGCGCTATGATCTATATGAGATCACTTGAGTTGATTGAAAGAATTATTAGAAATTATACATCTCCCCTTACTACAGTCTAAAGTTAGGAATTTATAGAAATGATTTTATGAAAGAGGACTCGAAACGTGAAACGAAATGCACTAAGTTTCTTTGTCTCGAAAGCTTTTTTATTCACGCATTCATCACCTTGAAGAAATTTGCTACCGAAGCCCATTAGGAGTTTACAGCGATGCTACTGCATCATCTACATCTCAATTATTGGTTTCGGTGGGGATTTTCATGTCAAAATATTAGACGGGAACCCAGCTTAAACTCTTGAAGCTTACATGCGATGAGAAACGACCAAACCGTGGGGTGGGGGGAGGGGGGAGGGGGGGAATAGCTATCACACGAATTGACTGGCAACGCCCTTTCAAAATCGCTGTTTCATTGCTTGTCAAGTGAACAAAGAAGCGTGTCCTGTGACGTATTGTGACTGGCGAAGACAAGTGGATCTATTACGGTAATCCCAAGCGCAAAAGGTCATTTATAGCCATCCACGTCGACACCGCCGCCAAATATTCATAACGATAAAGTTTTGCTATGCATATGATGGAATCAACAAGGTGTAGTCTATTAGGCGGCTTTAAAACCGAATGAAATTCTTACTGCACATGCCTGCCGACATCAATTGAACAAATTGAACGAAGGATTTGTTGCAGAAAAGACCAGCAATAACGGTTAACGAAGACAACGGCTCGCTCGGACCACACGTTTCAAGAGTTGTCAAGGATACATTGTTGCAGTTCGTAAGGGAAGTTCTGCCTCCACCTAGCGTACGGACCGGCTTATAGATCCTTGCGATTACCGCTTGTTCAGACCGATACAGCATGGCCTGGCTGGCAAGCGGTTACAGGCGTGCCGCCTGAAGTATGAGAAAAAGTTGTAAAAATTGATGGAGAATATTATGATGAATAGATGTGGTTTACAATATTTCCCAATGAAAAAATGATTAAAACACATCCAAGCACCTAATAAGTTTAGAAAAGTTTTTGCTTTTCGTTTAAATCCTATGTAATGGTTAAGTTACTGTCTGACCTTATTTTTGAGAAGAGATTCAAACAAAATACTAACACCATTAAATTAATGCATATAACAACTTTGAATTGTTGTTTTTGTTTGCAATAAGAAAGCAGGGGAGAACGTTGAGATGGGGTGCGCAAAAACTAAAAAAAAAAGAAGAAGTAATTTGATAACTAAATAAGAACAAAAAAAAAAAAGTGCCGATATAATAAAAGCAATAAATGAAAGTCACCCATTATAATATGAAAAGAATCACGGACATGAGTAGAGGGACTTTGTGTTAAGAGACTTGCATTTTTTATTCTGTTTTGTAGTGTTTTTGTTAAATGTGGTCTCACGCACAAAAGAAATTTAATACATTTTGACTTTGGGTTTTTTTTTTTAGTTGAGACTCAACATTCTTTTGGTTTGTAAAGAAATTGTTTTTGCTTCTTTTTGCTTTTTTTTTTTTTTTTTTGTTTTTTATTTTTTTTTTATGTATGAAAAGCTTGAGAAAAACATTTAATTTTTGTTTGTTTATTTATTTGTTTATTTTATATTGGAATCAACAGTGCTCAAAAGGTTGCCAGCAATGGTGGCATGCTTTGAAGGAGTCTGAAACTTGCCAGGAAGCATGTGTAAGTTAAGTGAGAAATGACATGAAGAGCTTAAGTATATTTATGGGAACGTATTTACGAATTTCTTTTTTTTTTTTTTTTTATTTTTCTCATTTCGTTTTTAGGCTTCAGTGCAATTTTATCCTTATGATTTACCATGCATTTCCGCTTGTGAAACTTCACAAAGTCATTATTGGCACTTGCAACGCATTTTAGTGGAAACTTTGATAGAAACTATTACTGCGACCGGCAACAGCAGTAAACCGCAATTGTTACTGAATGGGGAGTTTTCAGCAAAGCAGACATTAACGCTTAAGTGGCCCGTAACTAAACAATTCTCACGGCAACATCAGCATCATCATGTTTATCATTATCATTTAGCTAATCGCCTATTTAACATACAATATCAATATGTGGAAAAACCGAAATTAGGACAACAGCTGGAGCAGGAGGACAATTCAACAGAAACATGGTGGAATTTGTTGGATTATAATTGCAATGACGAGTTTGAGTGCGATATTAAGAGTTTAACGCCTTACGCCACATACCGGGTATGATATAAAAATAATGCAAATTTTTGTTTAAGTGGGTGCGGGGGGAGACCGGTGTGAATTTTTTAGAATTTTTTTTTTTTTTTTCATTTTTATTAGCTTAATTGATGCTTTGAACACATCGTAAGATGTTGAAAGAAAATGTTTTCTTTGAAATTTCAGCCTTTTTCGCCAAGCAAGTGGGCGAAAGTCTGAAGATTGCTTGCTGGAAACTTGCAGCCTTTTGATTTTTAATATCTTTAATACACCACTAACAACTGTCTAACAGATTGTAGTTATGTGCGTTTAAAAGCATTTTCAAGCAAATACATTTCAATGCAACTTCATCGCAATGACCAATTAGTAGATATGATGCTGAGAGCAATTCGAAAGCTTTCAATGCCTTTGCTAACAAATTTAAAATTTTAAATGAAACTTTTTTTTGTTGATTACGAACGCGTCCTTTATGTTATATATTGTTTCCCTGTTTGCCACGTCATTTTGTACGATTCTGTCTTTGAGGAAGAATATTTGAACAAGCGAGATTTTATTTATGATCCTACGAATGGCGGACCAATGAAGAGAAATAACAGCAACAAAAATATTATAATAATAAAAAAAAAAAAAAAATAACATTAAACGTCTTTATCTTGAAGAATATCCTTAAAACAATATTCTTTAAAACACGTGTAGGAATTTTTTTATTCAATTCAAAGTTCATTTGAACACTTGTTGTACAAGGACATATTAAGTTTTGTGCGGATTTATTCGACCGTCTGTCCTGCTTTCCTAAGTTCAATCTACAGATTGCAAGTTTTTTAAAATATTTTGATGCAATTTGCTTATGTTTTGATCTAAGGACGAACGCTATTGAAAATGGTTCGGATACGACTAACTTTTTTAACTTCTTCCCGCACAAAGTTTTTTTTTTTTTTTAAACGTTCGTTATACGAATAAACGAAGTGGTGTAGGGTATTTGTTCTTCCATTTCCTCAAAATGTTTGAATTTTTAGTCTACATTTTTATGTTTGGTCTCAGAGTTTTCGTTAACGAGATTTTCATCAAAGCCACGATTCATTTACAATTAAGAAAAAGTCTATGCATAAATAAAGTCTTACTTTTAAGAATTGCAAATATAGGCGATTATGGATGCATCCGTTTTGCAATTAAATTATCGCAAAACGAGTTAGGGATCTAAGTTGTCGAAGGACGGACGCCAATTTATTTATTAATATTTGTTCTTTTAGTTTCGTTTCATGTTAGTTTTTGGTGAAAATCCTGAAGATATTTTATATTCAACTCCGTCGGATGCGTTTAGTACGCCAGCTTGGGGTAAACCGCTATCGAAGCCGATTATTACAAAAACTTTGGCCTTAGATCATAAACGTATTGTACTATTTTGGCGGCCAGGAGAACTTGCAAATGGTCCTTTAATTAATTATAAATTAATTTTAAAAGATTCCGCACGGAATGTGCAAAAGGAAGAGGTGAGCTTAAAAAACTTACTAGAAATGATTTCATATCTTAAGGTATTGTCTCTTCTCTCTAGTTGTTGCCCCCTAACTTCTCTAATTACATTTTTAATGATCTCTTACCGCAAACTAATTATTCTTTGCAAATTTCTATGATTAATGAAGAGGGTGAAGGTCCTCCGGCTTTCACATCGATTAAAACTATAAAATATGTAAAAGTTTCTGAAAATTTGGAACAATCAAATTTGGTACTGGTGGCCGGAGAGTATGCTGTTATTTTAAAGTCTCTCGACTCCTTGACCGAGAATCGTGTATTGTTGGAAAGTGGTGAGCTTATAAATGATTTCGATTATCATCAAGCTACGAAACATATATTTGTGGTAATAACTTCTGGTGACGTTTTTAGGTAAGTACAAGAAATTGTCGACCGCTAAATTTTAGCAATTAGGTTACAATTATTTAGGAATTCGAATTATTATTAAAAGGTCTTTGTGGAGCTTGTGAAGTAAAATTAGGAGATTTCTTTTGATATGCAAAGCGTGTAATGTAGAGTTTCATTATTGTGAGAGGACAATAGGCCAGGGCAGAGACAGATCTCTCAGTTAATTCATTTTCATTCATAGAAATGAAATTTTATTCAATCAATTCATATCGAGGTCGAGATCGAGATCGAGCCTCAACAAGGATTTCTAATATTCCAACTTTTTCGAGATATTTTTTATTTTTGCATAAGAAATTTACTCCATTTTTACTAAATATGCAATAAGTAAATAAATCGAATCAATTAGCGGAATAAAAGCAATAATTAACACCCGATTCGTTTAGTGTGCCCCAGAACCAAAATTTTAGTTATACATAGGCTAAGGATGAGAATGCTATTTGAATTCAAGTAAAGTGTATATTTTCACTAAAAATTTGGTCTTGAAAATGTTTTCCCCAATAACTTATATACATTTTATGCAATCTCTAGTTTTCATTTAGATGAGCCAAAGACACGTAAGCCGCTGAACTCGATTTCCAATCAAATGAATTTTAAACCAGAAAAACTTACTATCGATTGGTTGCAACGAAAACTTTACGTAGCAGGACAGGTGAACACTTCTTATATCAATTCCAATTAGTTAGCCCTACTTACGGTTCGCTTCTTATTCCTTTCCAGAGTGGCGAGAAAACGAAAGTAATTTGTTGCAATTTCGATGGTACGGATATACTTACGATTATACGACCTATTTCCTCTTCAATTAAACAAATTGAAGTCGATCCTATAAATGGTTGGCTGTTTCTTTTGGAATACCAAGGACAATTACGGAGCTTAGATCTAGCTACAAAGCAAACTAAAATTATTGCCGCCCAAGAAATTTCTTATTTTTATAATGATTTCAAACGCTATTTACTTATCGTTGGCAACGAAACAGATAAGGGACTCTACGAGCTAAGCTATGATGGTCGTTATAAGCATCAGATTTCAGATAAACTTAATCAAAATGATATCCAAGCTGTCACATATTTGGGCGGTTATACCTTACTGGCTACAAATGGTACAAATTTGTTACGTTTTAATTATGAAACAAATGAACAGTATAACTGGTTGGTCGACGAAGTAGAATGGTGTTGGCTGGCTATACCAGTACAGCAAAGTCCTTTATATGGTAGGCAGTCAGTGCCATGGCCAAAGGAGCCACCGAAAAACTTGCAAGCAGCACTGACAGCGAAAACAGCGAAAATTTCTTGGGAATGCACGGGCTGTTACAGCAACGAATTCCAAACTTTAGCTGCCTGGAGGAAATATGAGTATGAATTGGAAATTCTGGACGTTGCCAGTAATAGTGCATTCAATATACGAAACATCAAAACCTATTACTTTCAGGTGGAACGTTTACAAGCGAATAATCAATATAAAATACGCGTACGAGCCTCGTCAACGACGGGTCGCAGTGAATGGTCGCAAGAATTAACAATATGGACTTGGCCAAGAGGCGATCATAAATTGATATGGGCTACCGAAAAAGGTCTTTATGAGAGCAATGAGATAGGGCAATCAGCCATAGCAAGAGGTTTTATAAAAGATCCTATAAAGCGGTTCGTTAAAGTGAATAATACCGTATTTTATATGCGGGGTAAGACTAGCAACTTGGAATGTATGAACATAGTGACACCGGCAATGAAGTGTAAGTTTAAAATTTCTCACGTTTCTGGTTTTGATTATGATTGGAGAGTCGAGAAAATTTATTGGTCCGATTTGGAAAGACGTTGCCTGATAAGGGCTAATTTGGATGGCTCTCAAAGGGAATTGCTACCAATATTTGAAGCACTTCAGATACGAGTCGATTCCGAAGAAGGATATCTGTACTATCAGTCAGCAAATCGTTTGGCTAGAAGGCCTTTGAGCGGTTTCAGAGAAAGCGAGATTTTCGAATATTACCGATTGCATAGCAATGGTGATAAATTTTTGGGTTTCGCATTAGATTTCCAGCAAAAGTTTATCTATTGGCTCGTTAATCAGCAAAAAGGTTTAATTAAACTTTATAAAGCCCAAGTCGAAAAAGGCAGCAGTACCGAAATCATTATAGACGGCCATGAAATAGTGGAACATTCCATAGAATATATAAAGGAGATTAAAAGCTTGATATGGCTGAAAGCTAAGACACATGAATCTGTTGTAATGTCGGTGGATTTTGAAAAACACTATGCTCAGTTCGACAATCCCTTAAATTTAAAAGCTTCCAATGTTAAGCTTGCAAGGGAAGCTTATACAGTCGCTGATTTTAATGTTATACCGCCGCCAGTAGATGTCGACAGCATTGCTGTTAGTGAGGGATACTGGGATGAATTTCAAATAAAATGGTCCCCAGTCCATACTCCAGAGAATTTCAGTATATTTTATAAAGTTTTATTTCAATTTGAAGATGATAAAGCTGAGCAAATAATGACGTTCGAAGTTGGGGAACCTTTAGTACATATAACGAATTTCAATCCCACGCATCAATTAATAAATATCACCGTTTTACCGCATACTTATTGGGCTCAGGGTCTGCCCGTTTTAAAGGAATTACTTACACCATTGTCATCGGCGAAGCCACCCAGGAATCTACGCATCTTTGTTGAAAGGTTTATGAAACCATTATGGGATGAAGCGAATCTGACAGTTGTAGTACGATGGGATTCGGTTCAGTATAAAACAAGAAAGGATGACATATTTTATAAAGTCTATTGCTGGCAGGAAAAAAAATTGATAGTTTTCAAGGATGTGGACTACAAAGGAGCAACCGCGCATGAAGCCAGATTTGTAAATTTATTGCCGCAAACGACTTATAGCTTTCAAGTTCAAGCTTTGGCTATGGCGGATAGAGTAGGCAAAGAAAAATCGAGTTGGTTAACATATCAAATAAATCCGGATGTACAATCTTTACCTAAATTAATTTACACTACTAGTCAGTTTATAGCCGAATTCGATATCGATTTGAATTTGACGCGGCCGTTGGTGTATATTTCGAGCGAAGTGGAACATTTGTGCTTTATGTCTGGGGAGAATCGTTTAATTTGGGTTAATGAAAATGTGGAACTAATGTCATTTGCACCGGGCTACTCGGCATTAAAACTGGCGCGCATGCGCGCAGAAGTCTTATCCCTAACCGTAGACTGGGTGCAGCGAATTGTTTACTGGGCCGAATTAACGGGTGATACAACTAATAACGTGGCCATCTATCAATTAAATTTATGCTCCTATGACGGTAGAATCATGCAAGGCTCTAAACTATTGACAACGCAGCCCAAGAAATGGTTAAGAAATCTTCTGATTTTACCTTTCTCGCAAACTCTTCTATGGTTAGAATATGAGCACAACAATAGCATCGCTCTAATACAGGGACGCAATCTAACTGATATGAGCGAGATTAATTTTAAAATATCTGGTAATATATTTCATATGTTCGAGGATTCATTGTCGCCCGAAATGGAAACAGTTAACATCGTAGATTCTGAGGGCAAATTGTGTTCCTATGATATTCGAAGACAATTATGTACGACTTTAAAACTTCCCAATGTTGAAAATACGGAGTCAGATTATTGGCAGAGAGATGCTGGCTACATTTACAGGCTTTACGGAAAAAACTTACAAATTTTCAATCGTCGCAGGCACACTTTGGATTATGTGGTGAAATTAATGGATGTGAAATTAATTAAAACGTTAAACTATCAAGAGTACCCTAAGAGGGAATGTTTGCTTCCACAAAACTTTACTTTATATAATAAAAAAAAGCTCTTAAAAGCTTTAAAAAAATTTATTCACTTCAGAGGAGACTCGTTTATAACTTTCGCTTTACCCAAACGCTCCGAAATCAAATATTGCATTTTACCCATACCGGATGTAAGGTATAGTTTAAAAATTTTTGATCAACAACATAAGTTGGCAGGAAGTGTTATAACAACGAATGAATCGGTTAATATTACCGATTTGCAACCTTTTGCTAATTACACTCTATCAATAGCGGTTACAAGCTATTATCAAAAGAAATTGAATATGACAGCAATCATCTATCCTTTATTCCCGATTAGTACCATAGAGGGTACACCTTCGCTACCGAGGAATTTGTCTGCCGCCGCTATTAGTCCCAAAGAAATTCGCGTAACGTGGTCTCAACCGGAGAAACTGAACGCGCGGCGAGTATTTTACGAGCTTCACTGGCAATTGAAGAATTCATCTCTAAAAATTTCACGTATTGTTAATGAATCTTCGCCTTTTTTATTCCTTAATAACATGGAACCATCACAAGAGTACACTATACGGTTAGATGTATATTCGTCACCTAGTAAGCGAAATTCAACGAATGAGCTCAGTGCCCGCACCTATGATCTGCCCGAAAATCTAATGCTGATCGATAAACAATCTACGAACTTAACCTTTAGATGGCAACGTAGCTTAGACGATTTTAACTCTGCTCACCTTATTGTACGTCCATTGCTTTTAAGTAATGACACTATGAATTTCGGCCGTTTCGATCTTGATATCACTCATTTAAATGGGGACATAACAGTCACTGATTTAATACCAAAAACGAAGTATGAATTTCATTTGAAACTATTTTACAAGGGAGCGCATGAACGTTTCTATTTATGGCCAGAACAAAGGCATAATCGGTTCGTGTATGAGACATTGGGTGCGGCTCCAACTAGTCCCGGGCAACCGAAAATTGAACATATTACTGGTGAAATATTTAAAGTATTTTGGGAGCCAGCACGCAACAATGGTGCTCCCATTGTTGAATACAGTTTAGAAGCATTACAGGCATTACATGCTTATAACAGCAATAAACGCGTACGGCGCAATATTGCAACTAATGGCGACGACAATTATAATTTGCAAGTAAATGCTACCGCGAAAGCTTTGAGGGCTGAGACGCTTTCTGTGGAGGAATTACCGCCCCTGGAAGACATATGGTTTACTTATTGCAACACACCTGAGCTTAGTTGCATTGTGCGTGAAGTCTACACCAAGCATTTGTTAATGTTTCGGGTGAGAGCGCGTAATGAACTCTACGGTTGGGGTCCATACAGTAAGGAGAGTATAAAAATCTTAGAGCCATTTGTCTCGCCGCAAAAACGTCAGTCATTGGTATTGGCAATTGTAGCTCCAGCTGTCATCGTTTCCAGCTGCGTCTTAATTCTTATGGTTTTAAGGAAAAGTAAGATTACTTCTTACCCTATTAACTGTTCCTTTATATCCTCTCGTTATTCCTTCTAGTACAAAAACGTCGCGTGAAAACGAAGAAGTTATTGCAGAATAGTCGACCAAGCATTTGGAGTAATTTATCATCGTTTCAACAACAAACATTTTCACATCGGCGTTCTTTAACTAGTAGCTCGACATGGTGCTCTGGAGGTCCCCTAAGCGATGCGGATATTGCTTTATTACCTCATATACAGTGGTCTCAAATAACTTTGTTAAATTTTTTGGGTAGCGGGGCATTCGGTGAAGTATATGAGGGACTGGTAAATCATGAAAATCGCGAAGAACCGGAAAAGGTAGCCATTAAGGTAAGTAAGATGAAAACTAAAGCAAAGCAACTTCTGGACGGATCATAATCTTCGCTTGCAAATAAATGGTTTTATGGCATAGGTGAAGGTAGAAAAGCCGAATTATGCTTAAATTTGTCGTGTTTGCCGGTGTCTTTTGTAGATTATTTGTCAAACGAAATCTGATTTTCGTGCAGTTAGCAACATTTTGACTTGCGACAAGTTGACTGTGTACGATTAAGGGGCAAACTATTTTCTATGATAATTTATTAAGTCTCTTTTTTCTTAAGAGAATACACGCTCCTGTTAGAAGTACCTTAAAATATAAAGAGAGAGAGAGAGAGAGAGAGAGAGAGAGAGAGAGAGAGAGAGAGACATTTACTTTTACGATAAATTAAAGACAATAGCAGAAGAAGTATAGCTAACTGAATACTTTTTTCAGAGCTTACGAAAAGGCGCGAGCGAGTTTGCGGAATTGTTACAGGAAGCGCAACTTATGAGCAATTTTAGACATGAAAACATTGTACGCTTAATCGGTGTCAGTTGTGATGCCGAGTCTATATCCATAATCATGGAACACATGGAAGGTGGCGATCTGCTTACATATCTAAGAGAATCACGATCAAGTTTACCGGTATGTAGAAAGTAAAAAAAAAAAAAAAAAAAAATTAAACACAATTAAAAAGCTGATATGGAGGAATGAACCCACGAAATTATTTTTTATAGAATGGTAACTTATCGTTGCTTTACTTTTCAGAAATCGTCGATATCATTTCAATTATGGGATTTGGTTAAAATGTGTATTGACGTTGCCACTGGCATGAGTTATTTGGAGGATATGCATTTCGTACATCGTGATCTCGCTTGCCGTAATTGCTTGCTTACATCTCGGGAGGAGAGTAGAAGAGTGGTAAAAATAGGTGACTTTGGTTTAGCTCGAGATCTTTACAAAAGCGACTATTATCGCAAAGAAGGTGAGGGTCTGTTGCCCGTACGTTGGATGGCACCTGAAAGCCTGGTCGATGGTATATTTACAATACAAACAGATGTTTGGGCGTTCGGTGTACTGTGTTGGGAGATCTTAACATTAGGGCGACAACCGTATGCCGGTCGCAATAATTTTGAAGTATTAAATTTTGTTAAAGATGGAGGGCGACTGGAGCAACCGCCAAATTGTCCCGATAAATTGTAAGAAGAAGGAAAGACGATTTTTACGATTAACTTTCTATTCTTTTTTTTTTGTTTTTTTTTTTTTTTGAATTTAAACAGGTTTACCTTAATGATGCAGTCTTGGTCGAAAGATCCGGACGCGAGGCCAACATTTCGCCATTGCTTAAACACTCTGCTAGGTATTAAAACTTACGCGCGACGTTTGAGTTTGATTAAAATGAAAGCAAGAGCTGATGGTGAGCTGTACGCCAATACAAACGGTAGCTGCAAAAGTTCGCTTACAATCAGCGGTTCATTGAATACGACGGACGGAGAGGAAGGACAATTTGCAATACCTAAGGCGCCTCTTGCAAAAGTTCACTTTGATGATAACAGAGATTCTAAAGAGTACGAAACTGAACCAGCATCAGACGTTTCAGAGTTATTAGATCGTAAGTTACATAATGTACAAAGACATCCCGATTATTTTGTTAATGAAGGTATCTCAAGGTTATAAGTCTCAATTAAATCGAAAATAAGTATATATAAGATTACCGCTGTGGAAACGACGCAGATTTTTCTTAAGAAAAATTTTAATTTCATAAGGATTTAAATAACATCCATCGCAATTTTATAAGTGTCAGTTTGCAGCCGTAGCTATGAGAGGTTAAGAAACAAAACGAATTTATCGCTTGTAAGTGTAGTTAATAAGAAAATTTTTCGCGAATTTTCCAAAGAGACTGTTTGTGATTATGAAAGAAATTGAATAAAATTTTTAATATAAGCCTCGAAGAGAACAAATCCAATTCCATTAATTTACGAAATATATTTATTTATAATTTTACGATTAATTTGGTTGTAAATCGCAAGGTTATGTCAATTTTGCTCTTAAAGACATGCACACCTAGATTACGCGGAGAAATTGCGCAAACAATCTTTGGCATGTTCGAGCTAGTACCGCGTCCACTCCGAAAATATCAGACAAAGTTTTTTTTTATCTCCATCGCGTTATTCTTGTTTATGAAACTCATACAACATACATTGTAGCTTTTTTTCGCTCACGTTAATCGTTTTACACGTATACTAATCTAACTGTTTTAATTGGTTGCAAGTAGCAAGTTTGACTGGTGGCAGCGGTCATCAGGGGTCGTATAAAAGCCCAAAGTATATTAAGAAAGCCTTGAGTCATCAAAACCATTCATCATTCCTGGGCAAAAAGTTCTCAATTCAGCGAAGCGGAATAAAGAAGACTCGATGGACATCGACTTGAAGCAAAGCGCCCTTTAAGTAAGCGTGGTACCCAAGAGGTTTCTTACGTCTTACGTTTCATATAATATGATGAACACAATGCGTTTTGATATCCTTAGGATGTCAGCTATATGTTAAAAATTCACTTTTTATACCTCACTCTTAATTGTGCTGCGACGGACGTATACAACATCCTTTTAAGTAATAGAATATAGAGTTCTTTTCGGATAGGACCATTTTAAAAAGTCATTGCGTGAACAATTAATTCTATTAACTGAAGTGTTGTAGAATACTTAACCACTGATGGGCACGTGAATAGGTTACAATTATTTTAAAGTTTTTTAGAATAACTCACTCTCTTGGCTATCAACCGCATCTAGCATCATTGGAGTCAGAATTATTGTGATGTCTTTTAGAGTAACCCGCTCCCTTGGATATACACTGCATCCAGCATCATTGGTCTTACTACGAGTTCGTCTAAGATCGACAAACCTTCGACAAACCACCGGCAAATTGTTGGTTCAATTAATACCTGAATGGAACGCTATTATTTACTATTCATCAAAAAGCAATATTTCGGATGTTTTTGTTGCTGTTTTGAAAGTAAACAAGACCGCTCACTGTAGCTCGTAAGCAAACAAACGAAATAACATGAATTTTTGATAAGCGATTTGCGAAACCTTACACTATGCAAAAATAATCTGCACTCCTTGTTAGAGATGACATATACAAGTCAATGATGCGAATTATTGACCGATATATTACGCAGTATGCCATCAGAGGTTTGTAGTGCTAATAAAATTATACGACTCTGTAGCCATCTATCGATGAAAACGTCAGGCAGTCTTTCTTTTCCCGAATATTAAATCACCTCGATATTTGCCTTCATTAATCCAACCGCTGTAATTGCAGTTGTCACGGTAAGCAAGCACTTTGTTAAGAAAAGAGATTTGGTACAGGGTGAATTTTGGCGGACCGTGGAATTTCATACATATATTGTGATCGAAATGATCTTTGCTATCCAAATGGGGAATGATGCGTAAATGCTCTTTCGCCAAAGTTGACTTTTACGTAATCTTTGCTGTAAAATCAAAGAAATTTGTAAGAAACTTGCCTCACTTTTTACTCCATTGCGGCCGTTATGAATAGCTTTACGAAAGAGCGGAACGAAGATTTGCAAAATGCTCCCGACTGTTGGTTTCGATAAGAGCTCAAGCCAGCCGCTTTCATAGCTTCTATCAAGATTAGTGAGAATTCTTTCATTTATTTTTGAATTGATTTATCTACCTGTAAATATGCCCTGCTCTGTCGAAAGCATTAAAAGTTGTTGTTAATGAAAAACAACTAGAAAAAAAAAATTCGATTATTGTTTTTTCCCGTTAATCATAGTATTTCGGTTCGCGTTGAACGACCATTCTAACATTTATCCTTTTTAATGCTTTCAGCTTACATTGTTTGCTCATTCTCGTTCATGTTCCCGTTTCCTCTTCACTGGCATTTGCTCACCAAGTAATGACTCAAATAAATTTTCCGACGTAACTTTTATTTTTCATCAGAAAATTTTTTAACCAAACTTGAGTGAAAACAAAAACAACAAAATTATGCAAAACAAACGCCCACAAACAAGTACCAGAAGTTTTTTTGCATTCAAATAAAGTAATGTATGTATATATGTATGTATGTATGTATATGTGCATGCGTATTATCGTCATAACAGAGTTTATTGCTTTTGTTGTAATTTTATGGAAATTTTATTGTGTCGAAAATGTTGTGCATATTTTACGGGTGGATTTTTTTATGATGAGTTGACAACTATGTTGATTGCTGACGATGAAGACCACTCAACAGACAATAAAGATGGTGTTGACGCTGCTGCAACTACTGTTGCTACTGTTGTTACTGTTACTGTTGATGTTGCTTGTGTTTGTGATGAGTTTGTTGACAATGCATTACCATATATATTAAGTGTGAAAAGATACTGAATGTTGTAATTTTTCTCTCTTTTTTTCCCTTTTTTTGCCTGTTTAAGCATATGATAACAATTTATTTTTCAGTTCATTGCAGGCTTTCAAAGCGTTGCGTATGAACATATTTTATTATTTTTTGAGAGTTAGAGAGTCAGTTTGTTTATTTGAGTTTTGTGTTTAGAGTTAAAATTCAAATTTGAAAATTTCCAAATATCATTATAATGTTAATTACACTCTCACCCCAGCACAATGTGGAAGGATGTACATCCTTATATAAATATTGTGCAATTGAAGAGCGATAAGAATGATATTCTATCAAGTTTTATAAACTATATGACAACTTGTTGTTATTTTCGTTAATTGAAACGTCTCCGCCCAATTGTTTATCTGAGTTGCGTACGCTTAGCAATTTTTTATTTCGACTTAAGATCTGCCTGCACCTACATTGACTTGTCAAATATTACTACGCGTTATAAGTGACGGTTTTGGTTAATGTATTTGTATCTTATCGCCGGATCTAATCTCTTCAATGAATTTAATTTGAAACGGATGAATAACTTGAGTTTCATATTCCAGCTGAAAGAGTAGAACTGTTAGGTTAGTAATAACCATTAGTAAATCGATGGTTCAATTAACTTTGTTTTCGCACTTAATGAGAGTTGCAAAAAAAAAAAATAAATAAAAAAAAGAGTAGAAGACTATTTTGTCGTGCTATACGCAATTTTTAAGTCGTAACTGAACAAATGGAGGTGACAGATGTAAAGACACGCATAAACCCTTTTCCGTATGCAAACTTAACAAAAATATATATATCCATCCATTCATCCTCTCCTTTGAAGTGTGAAATACTTTAAGAAATGAATATGAGGGCGATTGAATCAACTCTTAATAAACTGCTCTTTGCAGCAATGTTTTCTTTTTATTATTCTCCATCGACAGAGTTGTCTGCAATCGGTTGTGCAGAGCATGTGTATGCCCCGTTGATAAAATTCTCATTGCGGTAAAGAAAAAATTCGAAAACGTAATAAGACGTGACTACAACATTAGTGCTACAGATTTTATAACAAGGAAGTGTGACGAATAAGTTTGATAGGCATTCCACTACTGCACACTCCCTTAGTAACTGGTTAAATAAGCTAACCAGTAACTTTACGTAAGTAAGGTAAGCGGTCGCATTTTTGTAACGAATTTTAATATTCATCACCTTTATCCAGTATACATATAAAGAGGATAAATAAATGCAAGCGCTGTCTTCAGTGTGGAAGCGCCAGTTGGTCGATTGAACCTTTTTTCGCGCATATGCCAAAAACTTTGTAAAGTGTACACATTATATATTAACCGGCGGGAAATTCCGAGTTAATTTAAATCGTTCGTTTCTCGATCGTCCGTTGGTATGTCCTTGTAGCCATCTGTTAACAGTTATTACCCAAAGATAAAATTTGAAAATATCCGCGGTTCGTTTACGATTCGCCCGACTGTAGATGAGACTCTACATGAAACTACAATCCATGTTGGAGAGAAATTAAAATACAACTCGCAAATGTGGGTGCGAGCTGTCAAGTGTTACGACCGTTGATCGCGTACTAAAAAGCCTCTAAGGCTCATCGATTGTCAAAAAGTATATAAAACTCCTGAAACTTCTTGGTGTCGACCTAATGTGGTTTATGTGGAAAGAGAAAAAAGTAATCTTTCTATCAATTAAGCACTTTAGTAAGGCTACTCGGTCTTCTAAGTGTTCTCTTTCATGATACATTACCGTGACTGGTCCATTTTTAACCGATACTGGCCGCTTTTGGAGGAATCTACCTATAAAGATTTTTTTTACCGTTCCTGATGCCATTACTTTCCAATCCAAGATATAGAAAACTCTCCTCTTGTTCCTCTTTGCTTATTCTATTCTAGAACTATAGTTCGTCGTATAAGGGATATTCCCTGAAAGATTTGCCATGGAGAAAAGGGAAGACAAAATAGGTAGTAAACTAACGGCTTAAAGACTTCGTTGAGCGCCCCCTAAGTTGACTCGATAAACAGCTGCTCCAGATCTGGTATTTTTTTGTAAACGACTTAAGTTACATCGCGAAACTGTTGCAAATGTGACACAATCTTGGATAACTCGAAACTTTTTTTTTTTTTGAAATATCATAAGGCTTAACAAGATCAAAACAAAAAAAAAACAAAAAAGAAAAATAGTCTACAGCCTGTGAAAGATGAAAAGAGAAAGTTGATTAAGAAGATCTCTAAATGAAAAATTTTATATATATATATATGTAATTAAAAAAAAATTATTGAAAATTGAAATGGAATTTAAAAATAAAACCACATTTTAATATTTAAATAAAGCCTACAAGTATGCTAATAAACGTAAGTTGTTAACGAATACCACTATAAATTTTGCGGTTGAATTGTTGAATTAAAAAAAAAAAGAAGAAGAAAAACAAAAAAAAATATTTTTACTTTTTTTTGCCAACTTTTTTCCTTTTACTTCATATATATTTCTAAAGTTCTCTCATTTCAATGCTAAATTAAATTTCAATTCTCACTAAAGTACAATATAAGCGTTCATCACAAGTGTTTTATGTGTATTTGCTCTAAAATTTTGTTGTTGTATTTTTTGGCAACGGAAACTCAAATGGAACCATTTTTAATAGAATTGTCGATTAGGTCTTTTTATTGCGGTGTTCACATACTTTTTTTCTATTTATTTATTTTAATTTACTTTATTTTCACGTGGGGTTTTTTTTTTTTTTTTTTTAATCATTTATAAATGAAAAATCCCTGGTAAAGTAAAACCAACATTTATTTGTGAATTTAATTAAATTTTTCTCCATAAAATTTACGTAGGCTGTAAACACTGTCGTAAGTATATTAAATCGATTGTAGCTAACGTAACTTACTCGATAACGAATGATAAATGGAGTAACATAAAAATAGTGTTTTTGTTTTTCTAAATTTATTTTGTGAGGTTATGTCAATCATATATTTATTATATTAATCATTTTTTTTTTTTTTTTTTTTTTTTTTTAAAATTATTAATAAATATGGATTTTTTGTATATTGAATTTAAAGTATTTTTTGGCTCATGTGTACTTGTGTATGTGTATCGAAAGTCTGAAAAAGAAGACCGTATGCAATGTTTTTTTAAAAGTCGAGTTTATAGAAAATTGAAATAAGTTTTTCTGTTGGTGATTTCTTTTCCGTTCATAATTTTCATCCAGAAGCATTTCATCTCAATGAATTCATTTTGTTTCTATGAATACGCCTCGTGTTGGTGAATTTTCCATATTTTTTAGCATTTCTTTTATGATGTTTGCAAAGAAATGTTTGATGGCTGTTTTAAACAGCGACATACACGCTTGCATGCACACACACACACACACACACACACACACACACACACACGCAAAAGATTTTCATTCAAGTTGACTTCTTT